GATTTTTCATATTCAAATTGAATCATGGCCAAAATCTCCATTCTTCTCTAAGATACCAACACTATCTCGGAATTCTGAGGTAGTTTGTACTATCTTTGGTATTTTGGCTTTATCTCTCTCATACGATCTCGAAATGAGTTGATACAATATGCGTTAGAAAGCTAACAAGGAGATCTACAACTTTTATATTTTGAGATTCTTCATATTTGAAGCGAATCATGATTAAAACAGCTCTATAAAACCCGAGATAGTCCAACTGTCTCGGCCTTGGCCGAGATAGTGCAAGTGTCTCTCCTCTGTTTTGCTTCTAACTCTCTCATCTAATCTCGGAATGAGTTGATCCAAGATGAGTTAGAAATCTATCGAGGAGATCTACAACTTTTGTCTTTTAAGATTCTTCATATTTGAAGTGAATCATGGTCAAAACTGCTCTATAAAGCCTGAGACAGTCCAACTGTCTCGGCCTTGGCCGAGACAGTGTAATTGTCTCTCTGCTGTTTTGTCTCTAAATCTCTCATCCGATCTCGGAATGAGTTGATCCAAGATGCGTTGGAAAGCTGGAGGAGAAATCTATAACTTTTATCTTTTGAGCTTCTTCATATTCAAAGCGAGACAGTCTCTACCAATGCCAAGACACTTGGAGTGTCTCCGCTAAGGCCTGGGGCATTGTTTTGTGCGTCCCGTCCGTTTTCGTCGTATCTTCGTGGTCCGAACTCGGAATTGCGCGATTCAAAGTGTGAAGGGAAATCGATGAGAAGATCTACAAGCTCCCATGGTTGAATCACATGTAGAGTAGATGGGACACGATGGGCGCTTCGTCTTTCGTAAGCGAAAGCGTAGCTCCCGATCAGTTCGTATCTTCGTTATTCTGCAGTTCTGTTGCTTCACATAGTTCGTCGACTTACTTCATGCGTTTATCGACATCAATTAAGCTTCTGTGACCCGGATAGTGACGTTCATTGTCTTCTCTCTGTCTCAAGCCGCGTGCGGGAATCCGTGGGCAATTTTTGATGCCTACAACACTTTAATAAAGTTTTAATTAGTCTTGTATATTTTTAATGTTTAATTAGCATGTGATTAGTCAACACTAATTACACGGGTCTACTAGTCACGTATATTTTAAAAACCATATTTTACAAATCAATCAAAGAGGTCGATTTTGCTAATTAAATCTACAAAAAGTCGGTTTTGCTAATAAAGATTCAATAATGGTCTTTTTTAAATTCCCAAATAATAACGTCAAACTTATCGAGCTCGTTTCATTCTTTTATCTGTCAACATTTATCACCGTCCACTAGGGGCAATGCTTGTAGATAACATAAAGCATAATGAAGAATGCAACATCAAACTTCATCAACATTACTTTATACGTTTATGAATACAAGGCTTTAAATCTTGTTCAGTGCTCTCCAAAATACAACTGAAGCTATAGTCGTAATTTAATGTGCAAAACACAGTTGTAATCGCCATTGACAGATTCTACGTAGATCTTTACCATATCGACATGCTATATTCAGTCAATGCTCGATACAAGATCTTCAGATTTAACCATTTATCATTTACGACATCCAGTCCACCATCTACAATTCAACATTGTTGCTTCACCAAAATATTGGGATCGATTCCTTCGAAGGTCCTAACCATGGCATATCACCTAACATGGATTCAAATTACTCATACTTGATACAAGGAGAAATAAAAAACTACAGCAGATCAGATGATCACCACAAACACGCTCATTTTATTCTCTGTTTTCCCCTATTAGAGGACTTTGCTGTCTGTGATTAGCATCACTTGCAAGGAAACAACCTTTGAACATTTTGACTTGAAGGAAAATTCATGGCCATGGACTTCACAGACTGATATTGTAGTAGAAACTTATCCAGTAATCAAATTTCAAACACAAAACAACTCAACATAACTCTCATCCTAATCCCATGACATGAAACTCTCAATCAAACAATTTAGGTTGCATCTTTATACCCTCTGAAGTAAACTCTCCACTTTAAGATTTTGCACTCTAATATCCTGACCCCTTATGGAACACCCAAAAGCATTAGATACAATGTTAAATGAAAAAGCGAGGAAACAATTTAGAATGCAATAAATAGTAAATACTCATTTGTGACAAACATTGACAACAAAGAAATTTACTTGGAAATCTCTGTATAAGCTGGTCTTATTGTATAATAGTAGCCAACCAAAAACAAAATTGTAATTCCTCACCCAGAGAGAGAGAGAGAGAGAGAGAGAGGGGAAACAATTTAGAATGCAATAAACAGTAAATACTCATTTGTGACAAACATAGATAAAAGGACAAATTTTTAAAAACAACCGTTTTTTAACATTAATGAGTAAAATCGACCATTTCAAATAATAATCAGCAAAATCGACCTTTTCCATTTGAAAAGGGGCGATTTCGATTTGGAGAAGTTTTTTAGAGCTGCACGGGACTAGTAGTCCCGTGCAGTCTCTCTCTCTCCCCTCACTCACGTGTTATCTCTCTCCTCACTCACCTCCCCGCTGCCGTGATCCCCAGCCTATCTCTCTCTCTCCTCACTCACCTCCCCCGTTCACTTCCTCTCCTCCGCCGCCCGCAACCGCCAGGCCCGCGACCTCTCCTCCTCCTCCCCCTCCACCACTGATCACCACCTCCACTTCCACGACCTCCCCCTCCCCCGACAAACCCCGGCCCCGCCCCTCCCACTTCCCCTCCCAACTCCAAACCCCTCTTCGACGCCGCCGTCCTCCACTTCCCTTGCAAGCGTAAGGCAAAGCAAGAATCCAAAGTCGTCCCTTGCTCAATAAATTTATCTCAAAAACGAAAGTCATTATCTATAACTGAAATCATAAAAGAGATGAACCATAATGTCATTTACAGGAAAAATTACTTATGAGATCAGCCCATATAAGCAAAGTTCACCAATTCTCAGCAAAGCGCACAGAGAATTAACCCACATTTAGAACAGTGCCCTCCCAAAACCCAAACTTACATGAAAAAAACGATATTGAGGTGACGATGATCGAACCAATGAAGAACCAGCAGCTGAAGTTTTCCTTGGTGGATGTAATGGAGGAAGAAGATGATACTGCTGTTTGTGATCCTTTTCAATGCTGCTGTTATTGCTCATGGTCATGGCGAGGAGAGAGGGGAGGGGAAGTGGAGGACGGCGGCGTCGAAGAGTGGTGATCAGTGGTGGAGGGGGAGGAGGAGGAGAGGTCGCGGGCCTGGCGGTTGCGGGCGGCGGAGGAGAGGGAGAGATAGGCTGGGGATCACGGGAGCGGGGAGGTGAGTGAGGAGAGAGATAACACGTGAGTGAGGGGAGAGAGAGAGACTGCACGGGACTAGTACTCCCGTGCAGCTCAAAAAACTTCTCAGGATCGAAATCGACCCTTTTCAAATGAAAAGGGTCGATTTTGCTGATTATTATTTGAAATGGTCGATTTTACTCATTAATGTTAAAAAACGGTTGTTTTTAAAAATTTGTCCTAGATAAAATTTACTTGGAAATCTCTGTATAAGCTGATCTTATTGTATGATAGTAGCCAACCAAAAACAAACTTGTAATTCCTCACCCAAGAGAGAGAGAGAGAGTGAGAGAGAAGGAAAAAAAGGCACATAAAGTATAGCCTATAAACTTCTCAATGTCAGAAAACCACTGCAATGTTCAAAGACGCTAGTTGAACACAAATGACAATCCACGTACACAGAAAATAAAGTTATATTAAAAAAACAAAACATGAAAGAAAATAAAACTATTTTCATCATCCCCTCTTAATCACAGTGTATTTATCTCCTTCACCCAGCTAACTATGATCATCTAGTACAATCTAAATTACATTATCCGTACGTCTATTATAAAAACAACTTCCTGTTGACATTTAGGGGTTGTTTGGTTGGTTTCCTAAAAACCAAGAAAAGGAAATCGGTACAAGGAAATCAATAAAATAATATTTTTATCCATTTCCATCCCTAAAACTCACCCACAACATCCAATAAAATATTATTTTTATCCTCTAACTCATCTCATTTCATCTCCTTTCTTACCTTTAAAAATAAACCAAACACAAGAAATGTGTCACATCATCCAACTCATCACATCTCATTTTATCTCATTTTTAAAAATCACACACATCATCCAATAATATTGTGACAACTCACCTCATCTCATTAAACATTCCTTTCCACCCATTTCCTCAAAAAAAAAACAAGAAATTAATTTCCTTAAGTACATGTCACATCATCCAATAATATACCTCCAACTCATCTCATCTCATCTATTTTCTTATTTTTAAAAACGAACCAAACACAAACAACCTCAAAACATCATCCAATAATATACCTCCAATTCATTTCCTTATTTTTTTAACCAACCAAACAACCTCAAAACAAGTTTTTAAAAAAATCACTCACATCATCCAATAATAAGGTGACAACTCATCTCATCTCATCTCCTATTCTATAATTTCCTTTTTTTTTTAAACCAACCAAACAACTTCAAAGTAATTATAATAGGAAATATGTTTCCTAAAGTTTGATTTCCCAGTTTTTTTGGCCAAACGAACAGGCACAAGCAAACACAACAAGTACAATTAGTGCATCATGTCTTTTCCGATCTGAAGCATGTAACAACAAACAAGAACATGGTATAAGTTTAGAAAGTAAATCTAGTAAAATCAGGCCTAAAGAGATCTGCAGATTGCACAAGAACTGATATGAGTTCTGTAGAATTATACAGCAGCATTTCATGGCACATCATGACGCCGACAATATGAATGAAGTAAAACCTGCAAGTTCTGCTCAGCTCTCACACAAACAAACATGACACGCTCTAAAAGGAAAATTAAAATTAAAACTAAACAATCATTAAATGTCTATAGATTTTTCTGAAGTCCACGGGTAAGCAATACTAGTCCTAAACCTAGGAACATTTAGCAAAAGTAAGAACAAGTATGTGTAACCAATGAAGGTATGAGAAGCTAAAGTTTTAGAACGGCAATCTCCTGCAATATCCTTCTTAAATAAGATGCAATGTTTAAGCCCTAAAACCACATTCTATTTCAAGGTCAAACCATATTATTTGAGAAAATTACAGCCACATTAACATGGTAATAACTAAGTCAGTAAACTACAACACCAACTCACTTCCCTCAACTATGCACAACAAAATTCTACAACAAGAACCAATTCAGAACTAAAACTAAACAATCATTAAGAAAGAGGAGGATTGAGATCTTGCTATGCTCTTCCATGTTCACCATCCATCATATCCAACTCCATCTCCTTCTTCCTCACCTCCAATGCCATCCTCTCACTCTCAATCCTCAGCCTCTCATTCTCCATCCTCTCCCTCTCCATCTCCCAATCCTTCTTCCTCTTAAACCTTTCCCACTTCGCCCTCCTCTTTGCCAAAGCAAACCCCTCTGCCTCAATCGCCACCCTCTCCTCTATCAACTGCAATGCCCTCTTCCTCAGCCACTCCCTCTTTTGCCCTGGAGAAAACGCATCAATCTCAATCCCAAAATTCTCGATCCCAAATTTCCCAAAACCACCATCATCATCCTCCTCATCCTCTTCTCCCTCATCAGAATCCTTCAAGTCATGATCATGTTCGTCGTCCTCAACCCCATTTCCCTTTGGCTCCAACTCCCTTGAATTAGGTATCCGCTGCCCATTGTGATAAGCACACATTTCTCTATAAAACAAATGCTTCGAGCTCAGAATCTTTCTCACATCCTCCTTCGCCTTTTCCGAGACGTGATGCATTGAATCGAGCAAGTTAGGGTTTTCAACAACTTGGCAAGTGGTTCCTCGACCGAGAATTTCATTCAATCTCTTGTACCTAGGGAGGAAATGAATCAGATAATCAACAAATAGTTTGTCAATTGATCCTTAATTGTTCATTTAATTATTTGGTTATAATCGATTAGGTAGTTCATCGATCTTAATCTCCCTACCACTACTCCAAAGCCCCAAAGATATGGTGAGGGTTGAGGGTTATTGATTTATATTCTCACAATTTAACAGTGAACAAATTACTTTTAGTATTTGATTCGTAAACAATTTGTTTGCTTGTCAAATATTTGTTTTTAATTTGATCGGTTATTTTATACTGATTTTGAGAGACCTAAAGAATCCCAAATCATCTTATTAACCAAGTATTCAAACTACAGGCTTATACATCATAATCGTGAAGGAATAATTTTCAATTATGAATTTAAATGATATTTAAGAATCAAATTCTTTTAAACAATGAAAGTATTTCTTCAACAAAATAAAAATTACCGTCCTAACTATATAGTTTGATATTCATAAACTATAGATTATTAATCGAATAAGGGTCATTTGCACTTTAATACCGCAAAGTTTCCACCTTTTTAACCCTGACAGCTAGAATTTGGGGAAAGTGAGGAACAAATTTGAAATTGTCAAACTAAGATCAAGTTGAAAACTTTGAGGTATCAGATTGCCGTAATGCCACTTCAATGATTCAGAGCTCCAAAACCCTAACTGTACCTTTTATTGAGATCGTTGAACTTATCCTCGCATTGCTGCGGCGAGACGTTGAAGCCCTTGTCGAGCATGAGCTTGGAGACGGTCTTCCACTTGCCCTTCTTCTGGAGGGCCTTGCCGCCGGCGTCGTTAGGGCAGACGTCGTCGCCGACGAGGGAGACGAGGTTGATGAGGAGGCGGACGACGTCGTCGGTCCACTTCATCCGGTGCCATGGCGATGAGATCTTTTTGGAGGCGGAGGCGCCGGCGGCGGAGGCGGAGGAAGGGTGGTGGTCGTCGTCGTCGCTGGTGAGGTTCAGGGTTGAGGTTGAGGGGTTTGGGAAGAGGAGGGAGCCGATCATGGGATTGTCCATTGATTAGGGTTTGCGGGAATTGGGAGTGATGTGAGGACTAAACCCTAGGGGCATTCAGGGAAGAAATTTTCGGGGGAAGAGAGTTGGGGGAGCTGGAAAAGAGAAGGAAGGGGGGGTTCGACGTTTGGATGTTGGTAGATTTTAGTGATGATAATTAGTATAGACTTTTGCAAAAGTAATAATTAATTAATGATAATATGGGGAACCATCTTCTCAGTAATTGACGTTAGGGTGAATTGCACATAATGGCCTCTTTTAAACTTTAGCATCATTTTAAGACCGCTCAACTAATTTATTAGCATTGAGTGTGATAAACTCGGAGGGACTAAGTACTAATAAAATAGTTGAGAAGTGTTAATTGTTAAGTGTTACTATAGGCATAGATAGGTGGGCTATATGCAATTTACCCTAGGGCCTGTTTGGATTTGTAGGGGGGTGAAGGGAAGTTAAGGGAAACTGAGAGAAGGGAAGGGAAGGGAAGGGAGTTCCCTTCCCCTTGGTTACACCCCAATTTGGGGGGTAACAAATTTTATACTATTAGGGGGTGAACCAAGGGGAACTAGGGTGAATTAACTTCACCTCCTAAGTGTTCCCAAACATTTGTAAGGGGTGAAGGGAAGTTAAGGGAAACTAAGAGAAGGGAAGGGAAGGAAAGTGAGTTCCCTTCCCCTTGGTTATACCCTAATTTGGGGGGTAACAAATTTTATATTATTAGGGGGTGAACCAAGGGGAACTACGGTGA